CACACTCACACACACACACACACACACACTCACACACACACACACACACACACACACTCACACAAACACGCACACAGACACACACGCATACACATCATTTGCACCTAAACCTATAGACACACATACACACACAGCATACAGACACACTCGCCCTCAGACATACATACATACACACACACCAACACATAAACACACGCACACTATATGTGGACAAGCTCATGTTTTCGAGTGTTCTACGAGTGTTGACCAAGACTCCAGACATCCGGCGCCATGAGAGATGGACTTACGATGACCCTAATCCGCTCCACCCCACCTGGAGTCTTTATCATCCACATGGATATATAGAATAGCGTTCTTGGTGCTGGAGGCATTTGCTGTACTTCCCTTCCCAGTTGTTTCCCCGCGCGGTGTGTGGAGCGAACTATTGGAGCTCAGTACAACAAAGTGGGAGCTCAGTAAGTTGCTTTGGGAGCTCAGAGCTCAATACATAACATAGTGGGAGCTCAGTACAACATAGTGGGAGCTCAGAGCTCAATACAACACCAGGAGAGCTCAGTACATTGCTTTGGGAGCTCATAGCTCAATACAACACAATGGGAGCTCAGTACGCTGCAGGACGTATCGTTTATGTGTGCGTGTGCGTGTGTGTGTGTGTGTGTGTTCAACAAGTGGTGAGCAACAAAGGTCAGCTACTGTGTTGATGAACCAGTAATTGTAACTATGATATACAAGCAGAAACATTTTGAGCCAGGACAGACAGACAGACATATGTGGAACACGTTCAGATGACCAAGGAAAGTGTTTTCTGTCGTCGGTGATGCTGTTGTTGCAGAGAGTACATTGCTGGTCTGAGTACACAGGAGTACAAAGCTACTAGCAGTACTCCTAAGTACACAGGAGTACATAGCTGTTGGCAGTACACCACACAGGAGTACATAGCTACTGGCAGTACACCTAAGTACACTGGAGTACATAGCTACTGGCAGTACGCCTAAGTACACGGGAGTACATAGCAACTCGCAGTACACCTAAGTACACGGGAGTACTCTGCTACTCTCATGTTGTAGACTGCAGGCCTGAGGCATTCACGTTGCTGTCGCGGACGTTTGCAAAGTGGTGTTGTTGTCTCCAGTTTGTTCTGTCCGTATCTTTGTGTGTTGATAAATACTGAGTCGGGGCTGATGTATGTCGTTTGATAGGTATCTCAGTATCTGTGTGTCGGTACATACTGAGTCAGGTCAGATCCAGGTTATTTGATAAGTTGTATGAAGGGTCTGGGGGGGTGCCTGAAGTACTTAATATGGGACTGATACCATGACGGTGTACTGGAAATCAAATGTCAGTTATGATTAGAGAAAAAAGTGAACCTTGGGGTGGGGGAAGGGATGGGACTGTGGACATTATTCATGGACTATTGCGAATGCAGCCTATAGCTATTGTATAGGATGAGATGAGATAAGATAAAATCAAATAATACTTTATTGTCTCGGGGC